CGGGTCCCACAGGCCGGGGTTGTTCCTTCCCCTACCCCCCCTCAAACAGCATTCTGAGGAAAATCGCTTCGATTTTTAATTTCTGAGGATAATCTGCGGCCATATCCTTTTGTTGACTGTGTGCCCGGCTAAGTAGAACGTGGCAATGCGGTAAATCTTTTGACTTTTCTCAGGATCTGGTAAATGTAAGCAGGCTACCTAAGGCCCTGTGGCCACACGCTTTAAAATGTGTTAGAAACTGGGGCTTCATAAACGAACCCTGCAAGGACATCAGCTCAGGTGTAATACCTGCCATTGTCTCAAATCAGGAAAGCCACGGTGAAAATAGCAAGGGCTTTTGGAAAAGGAAGGCAAGTCCTGGAATGCAGCGTTTTCTCACAGGGCTCCTAAAAAGGTGTTGCAGGAAAGGGGTGGGGGAACATAAACAACAAGACATATTTTATTTATTTATTTATTAAAAAAAATGAAACAGATACAAAAAGGTAGTCTAGGAATGTGAACTCTACTGAGTTTCAAGAAGAACCAAATAACCAGCCGCTTAAGAGGGGCTTAAACAGTAATGAAAGGCATAGGAGAAACACAGCTTGGGCTCAGAAAAGCCCAACTGGCATTAAAATGACATAAAACCAACATGAATTAATACTGTTGCCCAGCTGACTATGGGTGGATTTGAACATCTGATTTTAAGGAAGACATTTACCTGATAGATTATGGGCATTTTTCACCTCCTAATGAAGACCCCAGAAATGGCTGCTGTCGAATGGGATGTGGAGCTGCTGCTGTAACTGCTGTGAGAAGAGGCATTAATGTCAGTGCTGTGATCATGGCAAGAGCCTCCATCAGGCAGCTTGTTTGTAGTTTTTGCACTCAGGGCAATCTTGTAGTGCAGGAAACTTTATTGCCACAATTGAATTCCGTGTAATTGCCTTTATTGACGTGCCGCGAAAACGCGAGATGCGTAATCATATTTTTCTTCTGGCAGGGCTCTGAATAGCACCATTAGAAATAATACGTACAGTCTGAAGCCGTTTTGCCCATTACTGTGCAGCACACATTTCTCTTTAACAAAAATAACAGCCGCATTTGAGAACGTCCTCTGAATAGATGCCACTTTTCTCCAGTAGGACCAAGAATTAGTCTTTACTATAGTCATGTCCTGGAAGTAATCAAATGCCCTGAATATGAGTGTCTTTTGTTTCAGGCTGGCATTAACTACGGTTAACATCTACAAGCATCCTCTAGATTACCAGTGGAATTGAATCTCTCCACCCTTTCTACTACTGACACGTGTATCCTCTTAAACCACAACACAGAATCGCATTTATGATTTGCAGTTATGTGACTTGGTTTTGACAATATCCAAAATAGCAGGTATTTTACATACTCATGCTTTCAGAAACACTGTCATTTTCTGCAACTTTCCCCTCTACAGAAGTTGTATTGTAAACTTACAGAAATAGAAAACAAGCCATGAACACTTGCTTTAATTAATAATAATAAGTTTCTCTTTTCTACAAAAGCATTTAAAAGACAAAATTAATGATAACTCTCTTAGTGACTAGATGATAGAATAGTATGTATTTTAATAATATGCAGCTGTACAGTCTACTCCATTGGTCAGCTTTGTTATGATTTATAAACAAACAATATAAATAATTTGCTGTTTAAAGTAATGTTTGTGCTTTTTATTAATCTGTGTATTTTCCTCTGTGCCCCCCAATATCTTGCAGTTTTTATGCTAACTTTTAGGGAAACAACACAAAAAAATATTGTTAAAGTGTTTCTAGAGAACAGGTTTGTAATTGATGCTCCAAACTAATTTTTGCATCCAAAGGAATTACTTTGGGTTTTCTTTCAGATCGTGTAAAAGCAAAAATATTTTCTATTGACCTGTGACTTGAGGTAGTGTTTTTCAGTCTTTTCTTGGTATTCTCAGAAAATGTTTTGCTTGCTAACTTGTTTTCAGGCACCAGGAATAGTGCTCCAAGCTTTTAAATACATTTAGTAAAACTATCATCTCTTTCTCAGAGTTTTTATCACAGCCTACACTAATCCAGTCACTTGGATTAGGTTTTCTGATCCTCACTGCACTATTGGGCAAATTAATTTCTGTCAAACATCCAGCATTTTAAACGCTCCTCCCACCCCCTCCCGTTTCCACAGCCTTAGTGCTACAGTGTGTAGCCTTAATGCCACTTTATTTCCATTCTGCAGTTGTTTCACATTCCTCTTTATCCTGGATTAGAACCTCATCCTTATCACCAATTTGTTGTGGCTTTACTTCGTACGCAGCACCAAGGGTATGGGGAAGCCATTGTGGGACAGTTAAAATACCAGATAACTTTGCTCAATGTTACCAGAACCACCTTTTTAGAAGAGTGCAACCTGTTTAGAAGACGGCATGACTCCCAAACTGTTTAAAACCCCATAACTGGGTTTCTGCACATAGCAGCCCTGTACAAACATAATAATAAATTTGTAATAATCTGCTTTCCATTGTATATAAGTGTAGTCTTTAGTTACACTGATGCATATACCTTCTGATTTAAATGTACGTTGCACTTGCTAGGGGAGGAGTGTGCAGGGTGGATAAGTAGCTTTAATATTACCAGTGTTGCAGTCGATAGGCTTAATAAACCAGCTGGAGCAGAAGCTGCACTTTTTGTACACAAGTGTCATCTTCCTTGCATTCCTCATGCCTTCTAAAACATTAAGCCTCTCAGAGACAGAACTGCTCCAGGAAGCTTCACCTAAATGATCTGTCTCCTTTATTCCTAACTGTGGTTTAGACTTCTAATGACTCCATTACCACCATCAGTGAGAAATTTAGCACCACCTAAGTGGTTTAGATACTGCTTCAGAAGTAGTTTTCCCTTTTATTTTAAAAGCCATGTTGTTGTCTTGCGATTTGAATTTGTTTATTGTGTCAATAAAGCTTTCAACTGTGGAAATCCTTGAACTGCCTTCTTCTTTTGCAGTTTGTACAATGAGTGACAGGCTTTTGAGCAACTTAGACAAACTTCTGCTGGAGTTTGGTGGGTCATTGTACCATCTTTTTAAATTAGTAATTACTAATGCAGTACATATGGTTATGTTTTCTGCTTTACACAGTTCTATTAAAGTAAAATAATTTATATTAGCATTTTGATGGTTGCTTACATAATGTTTTGTTGGCTGTGAGGTTATGGAGAGGGGTACTAACAGCTACTTCATAGTAAAATTGTTATTATTTTGTTAACATATTTGTTAATCAGTTTGCAATTAATGCTGCACAACATACACATTTCACAGCTCAACTTGCTTGTGTGTATACATACATATATGATTTTATTTTTATTCTTCTTAGTTTTCCAGCTAGAACAAACTTCTTTTGCCAAGCAACACGTGAATCAACAGATAAATTGTGAGTAGTGACAAATTGTCATTTTATTAGACATTGAACACACTGCTTTTGTTTCCTTAGTTCTGCTACATGTTCTGTGTCTCAGGGACGGAAGCAAGCCCAATAATGGAAGCTGTCCCGTGTCCTGCCCTCACCCTACCTCCTCTTTTGCCGTCAATACTGGCTCATTCTCCCCAGCAGACTTTGCTTTTGCTGGCGACTTTTAGCTAATGCTGTTCAGCTGTCTCATGGACAGCCAGTTTCATGCTGCGCCATTTCCTGCTCTTGCTCTGTAGCTGCTCCCAGTCACTGGCAGTTCTTTGATTCAGCTGTGCTTGCTCAATACATCTGCCACTTGCCTCCCTTTCTTTCTTCAGGTTTTTTGTTTGTTCCAGCTTTGGACCTCTGCCTCACTGCTTCTTCTCTCTTCCAGTTTTCTTAAAATAATGGAAGTTCTCTCAGTTGCTACTACCTACCCAAGCCTGGTACTTCTTTTTTGAAATCAAGCAGCTGGTAATTTTATTTAAAATTGTAGACAGTAAATTCAATGAGAAAGTCTTGTTCCACACCATTTCCCCCCCAAGAGTTACAGACAATATAATATTATGGACTTAGGTCTGGACTGATTTTTTTTTTTTAGCAGACTGCTATGTGGAATCACTCACTTACGAGAACCTTTGTGGTAGAGAAACTATTCATTAGACAATCTGAGGCCATCTGTGCTCATCGCTGGTACTTCATAGGCAGAACTCAGCTCAGAACCTTCAGGAAAAAAGAACAGGAGATAATTCTGGTCTAACTGGTGTTCCTGTTGATGGTAACATTTCTAATAACCTTGACTGATATGTCCACGCAAGTACTTACTCATTAAGAAGATGATCAACATTAAACTGAAGCATCTTGCACATTAAAACATCTGCAACCCTAGATCTGGTACACCTAGAATTCTGTTTTAAGTCTTCAGTCACATCACTGAACTTTGGTTTTAAGGTTTTTCTTAGCATTTATGTAAGCTTACTATAAATGAGCATGCTTGTAGGGAAAATGCAAAGGCTGTGTAGTGACACAGCATAGCTGTTGGTGTGTTCAGTTCAGAGGTAGTTCATTATGTGGGAACCAACAGTCAGACTTTTAAAAGCTTGGGTTAAATCTTTCAAAAAGTTACCCAGAAATAGTTCTGCTGATTTGATTTTGTCTCTGTGTGAGTATTACTTGGCAGAGGAACAGTTGTAGCATTCAGCCTCAGACTTTTAGTGTGGGGATTCATCAAGCATTTTGGCTTGAGTCCCTCTATAACCAGTGGAGAGAAATGAGCACTTTTAGGGCATGATTTGTCTTATCCAGAAGAAAGACTTTAAAGTAGCTTAGATAAAGTAAGCATTAAAAATGTCTGCTTGTCTCCTCTGAGCGTGGCTGTAGCCACGGGTGCCTAGTTCTGAAGTGGATGCCTGCATTGTGAAGCTGGGTGAGCTGGATCTCATCCATAAGGTCCTTGCAAATCAACGGGTGAGTAGAACAACTCACTCTTGTCACAGAAGTGCTCATCTATAGAGGACACTAAATGAAATATTAAGCTTTGTTTATATAATAGGTATTTTGCTAAAACAGCTATGCTACAGGCAGGTAAATGTCAAACTGTCATCTGCAGGACGCTTCCAAATACACTTTTTTTTTTTACCAGAAGATCATATGTCAGTTGCCCAACAGTTACACTTCATGCTGGGTAATGGCAACTTACTGACTTAAGATCTTGAAAATATTAAGATGCTGAAGATATTCAGGATAACTCAAGATACTAAAATACATTGAGAATCTTTTGCTTTTCACTGACGTTTCTCTTGGAGAAGTGTTTTGTTTTGTTTTTTTCTGGTATAAATGCAGCTGGTGTTGAAAATGAGTATATAGCAAGTACTGTAAAACTGAACTTTGGGTCTTATTCTAGACCAAACAACCCAAACCTGAAGTTCTCGGGCATTAATTCAAGCAACTCAAGACATATCTTGCAGAGCTAAGATTCCCTTCCTGGTCTGGTAGATGAGAAACTCAGGATGTCTGTGATTGACTTTTGTTTAGGGCCACCAACTTCAGCTTCTAGGATTTTAGGGCAGCAGTGATGGCAAGGGATGATTTGGCACTAATTAATCTGAAACCTTGTATGGAAAAAATCAGAAATAAACAGCACAAAGGAAAAAAAAAGTGCACCTAATTCTGCTCATTGCATTGCAATGTGAGCATGCACAGTAGCTGTCACAGCTTTTACTTGTGAAAGAACAGTGATCATGTCCAACAAAATCGATCATCTGTTAATCACTTACTCAGAAAAATCTTATGAACTGTCTTTTATTAGGAAAGGCAGAATTAAAAATTTAAAAATCTGCCTTAGGCATCTCCACAGATTTTTGAGAATTTGTTGTTATCATGCCTTTTTTTTTTTCCCATTAATTAATCTCTTTCCTTTATTAATTTATCATATATTACACATCCCAATCTTGAGTAAATTCCCTTTTAAATTCAGTTTCTCTGCTTCTGTTTCCAGCAATTATTTGCTTAAATGCCTTTAGTGACATTTTGATTTTTCCCTTCTTTTACTCAGCTTTCCCATTCAAGACATTTATGTTTCTGGCATTCTGTAAAAGAAAACAAACGTTTGAAAGAGACCTTTATCTCAAGCAAACTTTTGTATTTCAGTCAGTCTCTTAGACTCTGATTTCCCTGTACATCACTGGTAGCATCTGCAGACACTGTGAACTACAAAAAAAACCAAGGGTCAGCCCTAACTGTTATGAGTGCTTTGCTCTCTGCCACTAGTAGTTACTTCAGTTTTATACAGACTGGGATGGAGAAAGAGCACAAGCAATTTTTTTCTTCCAAAGTCAATCACAACATTAGATAATAATTAATATACTTGCCATACAGCTGAAACTCCCTACATTTTTTACTCACTTGGTTATTGCTTTGCTTAATTGCAGGCTGTCCAATCCTCTGGCATGAAGTATTTTGGAAGAAATTTTTAATCTTTCTGAGCACAGGCTTTTTATTTCACGCCCACGTTGCAAACACCTGTGCTTTGTAATTTATTTTTTCATTTCAGTGTATACCACGAAAATCACAGAAAAGAAGAATGAAATTGCTAGGTTGCAGGAAAATATAAATAACAGCAATGAAGAAATTGCTAATTTGAGAAAGCAAAATGAGAGGAGTAAGGAGAACTGCAATGCGTAAGTACAAATAGCCTGAACTTTGGGTGCTGGATGGAATTAAGAAACTCCGTGAGGAAGTGGTGTAACAATGTGTATGTGTGTGTTCTCACTGGAGTGATGCTAAACAAAACTGAAGTATTCTCCTTTTTTTTTTTTTCTTCAAGCTTCAGATTATCTGATATCAAAATTGCAGTTTATCCATCCCCTGTAGAAGTGAATTATAGAAAATCAGGCTGCATTTAAATTGATATTTATTGTTACTAGCATCAGCAGCTTTCAGAGATCATAGGTACCATCTTTGCAGGATACTAAAGTATTCTAGGAGTTAGGTAATAGAAGCATTTTTTTTCTATGTTTTGATGCATCTGACTTAAGTAAAATTTCAACCTTATTTAGAATACTATTTAATATTTAGAATACTGTTAAATATATAACTAATAACTGTCAGTGACAATAAGGCTCCATTATGTTCTTTATTTCTGAATTTGGCTTCCTGAAATTGAAGCATCTTTCTACTCTTGATTCAGCTCACTTTTTGTTCTATGCCCTTTCTCACCTAAGATGTGTCATACAGATATGTTTGTATTTCTGCTAGCAGGCTTTGGTCTAATTTTCACTTCAGACTGCAAAATTGCTGTTTTGATGAATGAAATGGGCTTCAGTTAATTGTTTTCTTTATAGATTTTTTTTTTTTTTTTTCTGTCAGACTAATAGTGCAAGTTTTAAATGCAGATCACTTTTTGGATCTTAGTAATGAGACATTTCTCCAGGAGTTACAAGGAGTTTTTACTTACTGACATGGAATGTCTAATTTTAAAAATTAAAATCATAGGTGTTTGCAAGGGAAGCTAAGAAAGCAAATCTATATTTGATAATACAGAGTTTGGCCCAGATAATGTAGTTCTGTCTTTTCATTCCAGTGTTCATTGCTCCATGATCTGACGAGTTCCTTGGAAGTTCAACTGATGATTTGTTAGCAAATTCTCACCATTTTATCTTCTTGCAATTATATACTGAAAGTACTTGAATAAAAATGTCTACAACATGTATTTGAAATTTTTTTTTAGGATGTGAATGGAGAATTGGATGTTTCTAAGAATGAAAATAAGGAAGAGATAGGATCAGGGTCTTTCTAGGTTTATTTTTAACTATTTGAAAAGAAGAAATAATGGAATCATCAGTGAATGCAGTGGGTGTAGTGTCTAGCTGTTTGAATCAATTGACACACCACACTGATTTGTAGCTGTATCATAAATAGAGTTAGGAAATTATTTGACTTTGACAAGAAAATTCTGATTTTTCTTTACATTAAATTCTTGCCTTTGATGCAGCATAAAATGAACACTTTTGTAACTTTCTGAAACAATTCACACAACTTCCTTAGATATCTTTTACAATGGCAAATCTGTTTGCAAATCACAAACTGTTAAGCCATCCAAATAAAGAAAAAATTAAGGGTAGAACTAAGGATCTGAGCTAAATTTTAATCATTAAATTCAATAGGTTTTGGCTCAGCTCCTACAAAGAATAATTAATGGCATTAGTGTAAAGAGACTGAAAATGAGAAGTGACTCATTAATGAATACATGTATTCACAGAAGGACAATGCTTGTGGAAGAGCAGAGACTTTGTTTCTTAAATTATTGAAAGTGTCATTTAATGACATACTGAAAATTGCAATAAACAAACTATAGGATCAGAGAATTAGAGCACTTACATAGTAGAATCATCTTAAACTTTTAAAATTAATTCTAGTTGATACTCCCCATATATTGGCCATGATTCTGATACTGGGTTTGTAAAATGAAATATTGTTTGGGAGTCATAATCACCCCCATAATTGAGTAACTACCAGTATTGCTCAATAGAGCTCTGAAAGAAACAACTTTTTGTCTGGATTACTAGACTTTGTAGTATATTGAAGCATGTTTGAAAATTTGGAACAAATCATTCAACAAGTCTACAAAAAATGTGAGATATGAAACAGAAATAGTGGGATACTACTGTGTTTTCTAAAGAAATCCAGATTCTTCTGTGTCACTAAAAAATGGAAGGCACAAAATTACAATAAACAAATATTTTTAGACAGTGATGACAGTTTCCTAATACTTAATTTTTTGAATTATTTAAGCTAGAAATATTGATCCCAGAACAATAGGAACTGGTGAAATGCTGGTAATAGAATATATTCAGATTTTATAGTTTCTCTTCTGTTTTGGGTGGGTTTTTTTGTTTTGTTTTGTGGGTTGTTTTGTTTTGTTTGTTTGTTTTAAATTTGGGTTTAAGGGTGGTGAGATTTCATGGAGCAAATTTTTAAAAGGCCAGATGAACTCAGAATGTTGCTAGCTTGAAAATGAAGTTGTTGTCTTGTCTTACTAGCTAAACTGCAGAATATTTTTGTTGCTTTCAGATTCCTGTGTATAAAGATTTTTATATACCCCAGCTGATGAAATGAAAGACAAATAAATGTGATAGCTGCCAAGAACCCCTGTGAAACAGTGATGCATTTAGCAAATTAGTAGATGAGCTAATTGAATCCTGCATATCACATTGTGTTTACACACCAGTGTTCTTGTACTAGGTGTTTTTTGCATGTCCACAGAACAGATGGGAACACAACATGTAACACAAAATGTGTTCAGCACTTTGATTAATGAAAGCTCAATGGCTTTCTCCTTTGTTGTTTTTTTTCCTCCAGAGAAAGACACAGAGTTTTTTTAGTAGAATATCAAAGTGTTTGCGTGCCAGTACATTTTTATATAAGTATGTTGTGTTTTATTTTTTAAAAAATCTGACTCTTTAATAATTGATCTTTCTTCTGGATTTGCAGTAGATATGGTGAAGCAGCATTTTGTAGTCATATTTGTAGTCACCAGTGGTGACAAACAATTTGTACCAATACTGCTAAATTTCCTGAATGGCTGCTGCTATTTCTCATTCAGCTTTTTTATTGCCAACATTTTGCTGCTGTTGTAACTGTTAATTATATCTTGTGCTCTCTCATCACCTGGACTACCTTATCTTTTTGTTCAAGGTTATTGGAAATCAGTTCAGAAAATTAATTTTCATGTCTTTGTTCTTTGTTTCCTCGAAGGAAGTGCATTAAGTTAGGTGGTACCGCAGCCTGTATTTTATTCCACCTTTGGAGTGATTGCCCAAACAAACCTTAATACTTAGTGTGACTGCCTGTTACAAACCCACCAGTTTAGAACTGTAGGGCATACTCACATTCAAAAATGCCTTTCACTTACCCTACTCATGAATACGCAGTGCAAAATGAACCATACATCCTTATTTGCTCTCACCTGCCTGGTAATGAATTATTTTTTCAATTCCAACCTTGTTCTGTATTGCCATTTGTCCCCTTTTTTGACAGTTGGACTCGATGATTTTAAAGGTCTTTTCCAATCAGGATTCTCTGATTCTGTGATTCTCGTTGTTGATGCAACTCTTTAAATGTACCTCTGCTGTTCCAGACCCACTGAGTCCCTTCAGTCCTTATGGATTTTTCCTTCTTCTTTTCCTTCAGTGTCTAACTTTGATAGTATCTAGATATGTGTTCCTAAAATTAGGTTTTGTGTGTACATCTCCTAGAATGTACAACGACTTAATTTTTGGTGTTTGTGTTGCCTTAAGGTGACTTGCTCTGGACAAAAGTGGAATTTATGGATCCCTTTAAGCCCTGACTGAGGATGGGTGTGCTATTTTTTTTGGTAGAAGGTTCCTTTGGAAGGAGCATGTGATTTTTTTTTTCATCAGAAATAGTATCTCTGTCCTAGTCCAGCCCAGTCTGTTTGGATGATTTGGTTATCTCAGCTCCCAGTGTCTCAGGTGTTGCCTGTTGACAACCTGTCAATACAGAGGTTATCCTCTCTGAATGAGTGTTTGTCAATAGCAAATACTTAGTTCAGCAGACTTCAATAATTTTTCTGTTATTTCCCTTATCTTACAACACTTTGGTGTCTGTTAAGTCTTGTGAAGGTATTTTTTGCTGTTTGCAGGGTCCACAAACCCAAGCTTTCTGAATTTGTTCCTTACCATCTTTAACAGAGCAACCTCCTGGCCTCTTGTTCAGTTACAACCTTGTGTGAAAATGTCTTTTCTGACAGCTGTTGTCTCAGCCATCCAGGCTTCTCTTTTTCAGGCATCATGTGCCTCTCCTAAAGATTATATCTGAATTTCACTTGAATCAGAAAGTTTTCTAGAGTCCCCACATCCAGGGAAGAGGCACCTCTAGTACCTGGATGTCAAGACAGCATTATTAATTCACTAGTACTAAGTCCTGAATGTATTCCCTGCATTTGCTGTACTTTCAGTACAATCTACAGCATCCTGCTGTAAGAAAATCACTTTGGTGGATTGCATCATATCTTTCATGTTGTAGGAGGCTCCTGAAATTAGAAGGACAAAAAATGGATTAATTGTGTTTCAGGGCCATAGGGGAGCCACATGAGAAAAGATCCAGGCCAAGCGTTACAGAATGTGGGACCTAGCAGTTTGCTGTAGGGGATTTTAGTAAGAAGCTGGGAAAGAGCCACTCAGCACCTTGTGTTTGGGGATAGGTGACTGGAATGGGTGCCTTTACAATGTAGACAGCCTACATAGCCAGACACCAACTCCATAAAATGTGAAAATATATGTGAATTATGACTTAGAGGCAGAAAAGAATGTTACTTGACAGCAAGTGAAGTTCAGTTCTTATCTGCTATTAACATATTGTTAATTATTAGCTGGCGTATTTTCCTGTAGGGGCAGAGTTTGAGTTCAGATCTAGTCAGTAAGGGATGGTGTGTGGATCTGTGACTCCAAACTGCCATGTCAGTGTTCCTGGTGTCTGAAGACAACATCATTTTCCGGCTGTTTCTCTGAGCAGGAACTGCCTAGCAAATGGAGGAAATGCTGAATTTGTGGCTGCTGCTTGTTTTTAGGTATGAGATAGGTGCTGGTGACATTGATGAGAACGTAGCTGTGTGCTTCTCTAGAAAGAAGATCATATATACCTAAAAGATTTACTGATGTAGCTGTTCTGAGTACTTCGTATATGGATTTAGATGCCTAATTGCCTAGCTTTAGGCTCACTCTATTTATTCTTTAAAAAGTGCTTTATAATACTTGTTAATCCTAAATATATATATATATATATTCTTGAATGTACAGCTTTAAAATTTTAAGAAAATAAATATATTTAAGTAAAAGCTTTCTGTACTTATATTTCTTCTTTTGTTTCTGTACTTATACTTGTTTCTGTTTCTTGTATTTGACTTTCAAAACAGTAAGTACATTACCTGTTCTGGTAAGTTAGCTAAAGTAACTTGATATCTTTGTTTCTGAATGGCTTTTTATTAGGAAAAAAGGCTTATGTTCTTTCTTTGTTGTTTTTTTCCCCCCCACTTTCTCTACAGCTGGAAACCTACCTATGCAATTCTTAGCAGGCATGAAGAATATTTGAAAAATGAACTTGAAGCTTTACAAGAATCTGTAGAAAATGAGAGGTATCTATGATCATGTGAGATGAGGTTTCTAGCAGTGGTACTTGCTACTCTGTCTAAATTGATCAGCAAAGATAGTGCAGGTCTGCATCAGAACATTGTTGTAAACTTTTACAGGTAGTGTAAGTGACTGAGAGATTGAAATTATTTTCATTTTACATTACAATGAGGCCATATGTTATTTTGTACTTACCAATGGATGATGTATGGCTTCTTCAAATTCAATTGCTTCCCAAAAGCCTATTATTATTTTTCAGAACATTGTTCAGTTGGCTATGATTTCAAGAATCACCCAAGAAATAAAGGCAACGAATGCTTCAGTTTTGGCAGAAATATGAAATATCAGAGCGTATTTACAAGAGCATACCTAAGTTTAATCTATGAATTATTTTTTTTGGCCATTATTATGAAGTTTTCATGTGTACTGTGACTTCAGTGGTTTCATATGTTCAGGTTTGGGAAGACTTTTATGAAAATACATGTCTTATGTTTTGTTTTTTTTTCCCCAGAAGTATCATTTCATCCAACCAAAGCCTTTAAATTAATATGTGAATAAGTAAGTTAAGAAGGACTCAGTAAAATAAAAATTGAAAGCATTCAGATAATTTTTTAATTTGTACATTAATATGAATAGCATATGATTATTAGAATTAGAAATAGAATTTTTGTATATTCTGTATATTCTTCAAAATGACCATAAAAGCATGCAAATATTAGATCCTGAGAAACAGGGTTAGTGCCTCAGGAAAGCCTGGTCTAAAACAATTTTAAGACCAGATGTAGGTAAGATTCTAGTTAGTATTAATTGCAAATTCAATTCTGTTCAGTAAGTGGCATTGCAGATTTTTAATCTTCATTAACTAAATTCTGCATTAAAAAAAAAAATGTTAGTTGTGCAATGTAGCTGCCTACATTCAGTGGCTTAGAAAACAGTTCCTGAAGGTTTTCACTGAAAGGTTCAACATATGCTGTGCCAAGTTAACCTTCTGAAGTTCTATTTAACCCAGGTAAAAATGCTCTTCATTTTACAGAGGTTGCTCACTTGTACTGATCTGCTTGTGAAGGGGAAGAGGTTGGTTATCCCTATGGTGACAAAATGATGACAAGCCCATCTAGATACCTAAATATCAATTTAGAGGTGTAACCTTAGGTAATTTAAAACACTGGCTTTGATTATTTTGTTAGTGTTCTTTTTGCCAGCTGTCCAAGACAGCAGAAATAGCCTGCCTGATAGCCTTTAATTAACTCAGTAGCTTCCCTGTTTTCTTCCTGTTCAGAGCTCTCTACTTGGTGAAAAATAAGGCTAAATTGGCTTTCTATGAACCGTTTTGGCTTTCACTAATTTGAGCTGACAAGCCAAAGAAGCATTACTTTTAAATTGCTTCTTTAGATAACTAGTTTCAATTCCAACGTGAAAGTGTTTGATCTGTTTTCCTGAGCTTAATGATAAGACATTGTGACTATAAATAATAAAAAACGTAATTTGTGTATTTTACAGAAGTGACCTCTTAAATATAGTCCCTCTTTACTGAAGCATTTGATGATATATTCAAATCAGCAAGATGTGCATTCAGCAGATTCTCAATATTTAAATTAGAAAGAAAAAGAAGTACATTTAGAACTTTATGCACTGAGCATCTGGGGGCACTGAGGACATGCTGCTTTAGATGGCAAGATGTTCCAAAAAGATGGGCAGATCAGTTTGCATTTAATTAAGCACTTATAATGGAGGTTTTAAAAACATTCCACATTTTTTTTCATTATTATTGGCTTCAAGAAGACATAAGAACTCTTACATGAACTGGAAGTTCATCCTGAAAATAAGTGATATGAAGAAGGAAAGAGGTATAAATAGCCATCCACATAATGTTCAGGGGTTTGTGGGTGCTCTTCTTTTTCTAATGACTTTGATGTGTGCAGTGATGAAATCTATGTGTGGAGGATGTGAATTACTTAGGAAAAGAGTTACAATTTCTGAAGAATACCACACTATACTATATAAGGTCATAAATCTGTGGAAAATAAATTTTGGGAAAAAATAAAGTTTGAGGATTATTTTTGGAGGTTGAAATGTACCTGCTACAATAAATTATTATACTTATTTATGTTTTTAAAATTTATTTCTAATGCATTCTTTATTTTATATCAGCAAAATTCTTTGTTGCTCTGTTATTGTTTGGAGATTAAATAGAACTAAATTTTTCCTACCTTTCATACCTTGGAAATTTGGTACAGTATAAACAAATCTTCAGTAAATCAAGAATCTTAGATTCCCCAGACCTTCTATCTACTAATTTTTCTGCCCCTGTAGGAAACCAAATAGATTAATGCAATTTTCTACTTGAAGTTTGGGAAATGTCAGTTCTTTGATCTCACAGTGTTGCTCTGCTACTTCTTCTCCCTAAACAAGTGTGTTGAACTTCAGTCAATATAAATGGAATTTGTGCCTGGAGTGTAGTTTTATTTGAAAATTAAGATTATTTTTTTTTTGTCTTGTGACTTCTGTTTCCTTTTGTAAGAGCAGAAGCTTCTACTACAGAATTTGGGCACAGATTTTTCTCTTCCATTGCCTGGTCTAGCCCGAGGGCAGCCAGGACTGTCTGTCTTTCAATCATGCTGTGTTTAAATGATTGATAGCAGCTTGAGATAAGAGGTTCCTTAGAGAGGAATACTGTCTGCTTTGCAAGCAGTGAGAGCTGCTTCTTAATGTTGGCTTGATCTCATGTTGCTCTGCTACTTCTCCCTAAACAAGTGTGTTGAACTTCAGTCAATATAAATGGAATTTGTGCCTGGAGTGTAGTTTTATTTGAAAATTAAGATTATTTTTTTTTTGTCTTGTGACTTCTGTTTCCTTTTGTAAGAGCAGAAGCTTCTACTACAGAATTTGGGCACAGATTTTTCTCTTCCATTGCCTGGTCTAGCCCGAGGGCAGCCAGGACTGTCTGTCTTTCAATCATGCTGTGTTTAAATGATTGATAGCAGCTTGAGATAAGAGGTTCCTTAGAGAGGAATACTGTCTGCTTTGCAAGCAGTGAGAGCTGCTTCTTAATGTTGGCTGTATTCATGGTGCAGGTAAACAGGTGGGTCTCTGGCTTTGGTTGCTATTGTGTACCATCATTTGTTTCATAAAGGAGTTTCTGGCTAAACCAAAGGTGTTCTCATAATTTAGTATTTTTAAATTTGCCTCTCTCTATTGTTCACTCAGCCTTTTCCTAGTGGATGACATTTCCCTCACCTTCTGTGATTTTCTATTGGCATATTCTAATATCAAGCAATTTTGTGTAATATTTCTTTCTCAGTTAAATGAATAGTCTGAGTTAGTGATACATGCTGGATGTCTGTAGCTGTGATTTCTCTTTATAAACTTCTGTCATCTGAATCAATGCTCACCATCAGACTCTAATGATATATTTTACATATTCCTAAATTTATCTTATTTTCAGGATTAAGGGCATAGAATATCAATATTAAAAAACAACAAACATATTTTAATTCCATTATGAGCAGTTGTTAAGCTTTTCCTTTCAAATGCAGAGAGAAATACAGTTACTGGGCACTGGTTGGTGTTACTCATAATTTTAAAACCTTGTCTGTGTGGGTACTGCAGAATTCCTGCAGGCCTATGTTTAATTACCTGTGTGTGACATTACAAACCAGAATCAGTTCCCTGATTGCAATTTTAATTATTCATCTTTCCCACAAGATAGCACTTCTGTGCTGGAAATTACCTGTAATAAAAGTTATGCCTAGCAGCATTATTGGTGTAAAAAAAAAGACTCATCCCAATGAGACTGTTAAATATTTGGTCTGTCATCAGCAATCTGCCCTGCAAATTTCTTGCAGGAAGACATAAAAAACCAAGTCTTTTCCAATGTCAGAAATTGTTTTCCAGAGCAGTCACTCTCCTTGACTTAAGAGGATGGCTGTTCTCTGCAACAGCACTTTTGTGTCTCTTCTTTCCCAACAATATTGATCAGTTTGCAGGTTCATGTGATGAATTACACCCCATTCTTTTTATGGTATTTGTTTGTTTTTATAACACCATTTAATTTTTTTTTCAAAAGCTGATTGAAGGCTTTAAAAATGCCATGAACATTACTTGATGCTGCCTACTTTAATCCTCTGGAGATATGGGCTCACATGATGGTAGTGAAATAGTGTTAGTGTGACATTAATTTAGAGGGCAGTTCTAAAAGAAGCTGAGGGTTCTGGCTCGTTGCCAATTAAACATTGAAGTGTTTGCTTAACATGAATAGTCCCATTGTTTTAGTGTGACTAATGTGTGTATTTAAGGCTTCCCTGGGTCAGGCACAGATTACTCAGCATCCCCTTGGAGGCAGCTCTTCATCCAGTGATGCATCAAGCTCCTGGAATTATGGGATGCCAGGCCACACTCTCCTTTACTGTAAATTTAATACAGGACTTTTTACTAGGGCTTGTAGTGAGAGGACAAGGGGTAATGGATTAAAACTGGAAGAGGGGAGATTTAGGTTAGACATCAGGAAGAAATTCTTTAGTGTGGGTGGTGAGACCCTGGCACAGGTTGCCCAGAGAAGCTGTGGCTGTCCCATCCCTGGCAGTGTTGAAGGGCAGGTTGGATGGGGCTTGGAGCAACCTGGTCTGGTGGGAGGTGTCCCTGCCCATGAAGGGGGGTTGGCACTAGATGGTCTTTAAGGCCCCTTCCAACACCAAACACTACGATTCTGATCCTCTGATGATTCTAAATAAAATCTGACTTTTTTCCAGGACAACATGAGATCATGCCATAAGTTGATAGTTTTTTTTTTTCCCTGATGAAAATGGCTTAATGTGAAAAAAAACCCCAACTAAACTACATATATTTTTATAGGAAAATGTATCAGAACTGTATAACTGAGTACAAAGAGATCCTGAAGCAGCACCGTGAGAAATATGCAGAAAGTCCTCTTGCCCAGGAGTATTACAAAAAAAAGAAAGAGCTAGAAGAAATCCAAAACAGAGTCTTGAAACATGCTGAAAAATACAAATGGAAAGAAGATTCCTGCTTGGATATTCTGGGTACTACTATTATCAATGCTGTTACAGTAGGGTCTATTGGTAGTGCACTGCATATTAAAAGTGCTGTATGGAAACCAAACCCTCTAATTTTCCAGTTTCTCTTAAGCTAATAAAAAGTCTTGTTTTTGTTCTACCATTTTAAAGAAAAAATCTGTAGCAAACTGAGACTTTGAACAAGAATTTGGAGTTTAGATACTAATATTCATTCCTCCAACACATGAATGTAATGGGGAGAGGTTTTGGGATTAGTGGGGTAGACAGTTCTAAAATGACTTTAGAACAAGCCTCTCAAAGTTTTACATTTATTTGTCATATCTTTTTTAGTGCTGTTTTTAATGGCATTACTCTCTGTTATACTGCTATTTCTGTTACGTACACTAAGTGCTCCTGAGCTATTAATTTATCTTGTATTTGTGAAGAAATGAGATTTGTGAATTAATGATCTGAAATGAAATTTTATTTCTGCAGAGACAATGCCTTTTAAATCCCTAAATGACTGGGCTGTAGAGATGTATCCTTGATTCATAGTGTTTATGCAGTTTGCATGGAAGAAAGTTTATATTTAGCATTCATGTAATTTTCTTTCTGTTGAAAACTATAGTAATTTTTTATATACTTATGTCTAAAGTGGCAACATTGGCATTTCCCTTGGAAAAATGAAGATCAAATGGTACTCTTCAGTTTAAATTTATGGGAGCACTTTGGTGAAAGAAAAGTAAATTTCACTTAATGGCATCCCAGTCAAAATGCTTCATGAAGGATGAGAAGTATAAATTGAATTAAATTTGTAGACTTTTCTAAGAAATGTAGATTTGTCAGAGCTTTCTGTTACTCTAGCATTTGTGCTTGTGGCAAAGAGGTGTGAGGGATCTGGTAGTGTCCCTTGCTTGAAAAAAAGTAATGCTGCAAGACATGTTCCATAACACAAAAGTGCTTCTTCAAGGCAAAAAACACAGGAAATGTTGAAGCTTGCTGCAGTTACCAAGCAAGAGTCCATTGAACTACAAAAAGAAGCAGAGGAATTAGAAATGAAAATAAATTATTTAAAAAAGGTAACTATTTCATTTTATTATATAAATACACTTTTATATGTGGGCATATATACCAACAATATATTTTTTTAAACATTAAAAAGTTGTATTTTCAAACACATTGACCAGCAGGATGATTGCAGTGTTAGTAATTATGCTTCTGTATCATCACATATGTTTTCTTAGGTAAGAAGGGTCCATGAATGTAAATGCTCTTCAAGTTTGCTTTCTGCTGACCTCTAGTTACACCACAGTTTCCATCAAGGCCCCGTGTTGTGGTGACTTTCGTGCTAACTCAAGAGGGCCAGAGAATACACTTCAAAATCTAGCAGGGCCATCCCTCAGTGAGCCCCAGGGCAGGAGCAAACACTTTTCACAGGTCCTGCTGGTTTTCAAGGTTTTGTTCATATGAATGTGTTTAACTAAATTTGCTTTACAGTAAGAGTCATGTAAAGTCCTTCCCCCCAACAATAAATGTGTGGATAAATAATACTTAGGGGTAAAACTGGCTGATTTTAGACAGGATATCAGTACAGTCCCACTGACCAGAAGTAGTACTTGCTCCAAAAGGGTTACTCTTCCAAAGAAAACAGGGCTGCTTCAGGACAGCATTTTGACCCACTCCTCTTCTGGGGGGTAAAAGGTCTCTCCTAAGCCTCAGCAGTGCAGCAGACCAATCTTGTAAAGAGTTTGGTGAGTTTTTATGGGTATTACATCAGGACATTTTTACCCCTCTGGATCAGATGATCAAGGAGTCCCTTCACTGCTGTGTCAGCTGCTTCCACTGCAGGCAGCCTCATGCTGATACAAGCATACTGTGCACAAGTGGTGTTTGCTATTTATACTTTGTGATGTTGTTTGACACTCAAAGCCCAAAGTTCCTAACATGGTATGTGCTGTATAAACAGAGAGTAAGAAGGGATGTGGTGAATTTATTTATAACTATGAAGGAGACCATGTAAGTAGCTCCTTGTTCTGAATAGTTACATTGGTTCATTGCTCAAAAACTTCAGTTTTTATTCCAGTTGTTATAGTTGGTGTAAAAAAAAAATAGTGCCTCTCTTGACCCTTATTCTGCCTATTTCTTCAGATAGTTTTGGCTATAAAAACTCTGCTACTGTGCACTGATTCATCAAGTTTAGAAAACATTTGCACGATGTAGCTACAATTTTTCAAGCTTTTTTTATTTTTATTTTTTCTTTATCTTTTAAGACATTTGAACAGACTAAAGAAGATCAAAATACTTCCAAAATGATTGAAGGAAAAGATCAGAAAAGTCTAGAGAAGCCAAAGGAGTTCAAAGAAAGGTATACTTAAAAATTATTTCTCTGCCTTGCATTCATCCAGATTACTCTCTCAACATTTACAAAAAAGACTGCCACAAAACAGAAACTGTTGCTAAACAGTGTCTGGCAAGTTTCTCCAACCCTCTTAATGTGATTTCATTATGTAATTTAAGAAGTTTTATATTTCTTGAGGTTAAGATGGTGGCAAATTTTGATTATTTGAAAATAAATGCATCTGGAAACATACTATTCAAAAGTATTTTGTGGAAACCTTTGCTCCTCACAGCTGGTACTTAAGAAATTTAACTCTTAATTTAGTTTTGAAAAACAAGCATGAGTGAAAGTTTTATAGAGAGGATTAATGGCTTAGTAATTTAGTCAGTGGTCATTTACAACTGGTACTCATTAGTTTGAGCTCAATTGCAATGACTGAAAATCACCATCAAGACTGTCTTGCACTTATCTGGAGTCCTTGTGAATGCTGATACACCACCCTTAGAGCTGACAATTTCATCAATTTCAAACTGAAAATATGTCCAAAAGAATGTCCAAGTACATTATGGCATACCTGAAACAGAAACTGGTTAGGTCTTATACAGGGATTTAGTGGACTGTGGGTCTGTAGAAATGTGTCATTTTAATAATCAGATGCAATTCGGGTCTTTAACATCTTCTCACAGACCTATGAATTATTCAGATTATTATTTTTTGTGGTTTAAACCTTTACACCCATTTTACCTTCTTATGTGAGCTTTTTGTAATTGATGACCTCAGAAACACAAGGAAGCAAGAATTCCACTTAGCTTTAAGGACAGCTGAAAAGAAAAAAGATGGGAAGCATTCTCATTGAATTTTCAAAGAAACCCAGTCTGCAAAAAGCAAAATGCCAGTGAAAGATTTATTATGAAAGGCAGAGATCTATGCTCTGCAGGGAGGTGTAAGAAGCTCTCAGTCAGGCTCCTCATGGAAAGTTCACAGGGTTCATTGCTAGAGCAATGCTAGAGTATTGCTAGAGAGAGGGTACCTCCCTGTCACGGAGCCTCCAGGGGCTTGTGTCTTCACCTGAAGCTGTGTCTTGACTGCATCCAATAGATTCTTTTTGGTGCTCTTACTGAAGCAATAATTCCATGGCTTGCATCACAGTTATAAAATATTGTAAACAAATCCCACCATCCCAACTCACATTGCCTTTTAACCTCCATGTATGCATTTACCTGAGGTATGGTGTCAGACCATTACCTGATTGTTAATGAATAGCTTTTTACTAGAGTAAATTTAAAAACTTAATTATGTCAAAGATACCCATGACATAAAGGCTTTTAGAAAGTGGCATAAAAATTGTTGTTGAAAATCTGTATTTGGAATTAGTGTACTAAAAACCTCAGAAGTGTCTGATTGGGTAACTACTGATGTTAAAAATAGGTGCATTATCAATCTGTGATTATAAACACTGTGATTAAAAAAAAAAGAAAGGCAAACAGAAAATATGCCAAGATAATGAGTCCTATGAATTCAAACCTTTGCAGACTCAAGGCAATGTACAAAAGTGTAACAGCAGAATATAGGTACCAAAGGCAGCAGTCTCTTGTGAGCTGTTTTGTGGTCACTGTGAGGTCACTACTGAGCAAAGACACCTTTGTGAAGAAAAAGAACGTATCTTCATCTTCTACCACAAAAGAAGAAGAAGAAATAAGGTGCTGTGATATCTCCATGAACGGGTGCAGACCAGCATGAAGAGAAACCACCAGCATCAAGGGAGAGCTAAACAAGGCATTGAAAACACTGAGCAGAACAATGTACTATTAATACCCATGAAACACTTTTAGAGGGCTACAAGACAGGAAACCAGCTTGCAAGTTAATGAATAGGTGTTAATACATGTGTATTACATATCTCCTTTGGGCAGGAGGATAGTAACACTGGGAACTGTTCATCTATAAGCTTGGAACATTGTAGTTTGAATCAGGTATTGCTGGCCAGTCAGTCATTCCTGAGGCTGACTGCAAAAACAGGTTCCTCTTCTCACACCAGCTGTTTGCTCTGATTAGTGGGTGTTCTCAGCTCACCAGCTATGCAGAGATGTATAATAGTTAACATTTCCAAATCAAGAGTTCTCATCAGTCACCAAATAGGACTCAACTCTTTTGAAGCCCTGATCTTGATTTCAAGTGAAGCTGCATAGGTAAAATCAAGTGTACTTGATTCCTATAGAGATGACAAAGTCATACTAGACTTTGGGCTTCATTGTGCTATAAAGAAGAAACTACTGCTACTGAAATGGGATTTTATTTTGACTTACGAGTATCTACTTTTTTCTTTGCACTTTAGTAAAAAAAGTTACAGATTTTGCAGTGTGGATCAAGAGAATGATTTTTTAAATCTACTCAGATGTCTACTAACAATGAAGAAGAGAAAGAAGGCAAATAATCTTTCTTACTGCTATTTGGATAATTCTGAACTTCAGTGTGCAGTTTGATTACATCTCCCTTATGAGGAAAGGCTGAGGGAGCTGGGTCTCTCTAGCTTGGAGAAAAGGAGACTGAGGGGTGACCTCATCAATGTTTACAAATATGTAAGGGGTGAGTGTCAGGGGGACGGAGTTAGGCTTTTCTCAGTGATGACCAGTGATAGGACAAGGGGTAATGGGTGTAAATTGGAGCATAGGAGGTTCAAGTTGAATATCCGAAAAAAATTTTTTACTGTGAGAGTGACAGAGCACTCGAACAGGCTGCCCAGGGAGGGTGTGGAGTCTCCTTCACTGGAGACATTCAAAACCCACCTGGATGAGTTCCTGTGTGATGTACTCTAGGTGACCCTGCTCTGGCAGGGGGGTTGGACTAGATGATCTTTCGAGGTCCCTTCCAACCCCTAGGATTCTGTGATTCTGTGATTTTTTTTCTGTGGTGATTAATTATGCCAGGGAAGATGTACGTGGGCTTTTTCCTTGTGTTTTTGGGGAGAGAAGGAAGCAGGTATAATGCATATGAGAAAAATTTTACTATATGCTCTTTTGGAAGGTTTTGTTACTTTAAAAATGTGTAAGAGCTTCTGAGTCCCGCCTGTAAAGCTGCCATTGATACATTTGTAGGAATACGTATGCATAATAAAAGAATGCTTGTTTTCATGGAGAGTGAGTTTTTACAAACCTAGTTGTCTGCTGGGCTCTACAAAACGGAAACTGGCTCCAGGAACTTTTAAAAACACAATTTGACATTTTAAGTCTGTAAAAAAATAAAATAAATGGTTCATGGCAGTCTAACTCAGGGTCTTTGCAGCAGCAGACTTGTTCAATTCGTTTTGGAATGATGATTGTGGTAAAGTGGCCAAATAGGCCATTTTGAACAAAGTGGAACAGTTTTAGCTGGGGTTTTGTGCTCTGCTCTCTTTTTATTTCTTCTTGTTTTTGCACTCTCTGCATCTGAATGTGAAGATAAACCAGCAATATACACATCTTATTTCCTGTAGTACCCTTTCTTGACACAGGCAATATTCATCATCACTGTAACTGAAAGAAATACGGATTTCTATAAAAACATATTATTCTTGTTGTTTTGTTTTGGTTTTTTTATTGTTGTCTTAGGTGGTATGTGGTTTATATAGTTTGTTAGGTCTTGGTCCAGCACAGCACCAGGTGCATCTGGAACTTTACAGGTGAAGACAGTTCTTTTAGTTGCAATTATTTGACTGAAGTGCATTCATGGTTTTATGTGATCGTAACTGTGCGTATTAGTATATACTTATATATATCTTAGCCAGTTCTTCTAACTTGGTATTTTTTTAGTAGTGTTAATGATTTTTGGTCCACACTACCTTATAAAGTGCATCCTACATTTTATGTTGTTTTTATTTATGGAAAATTTTGAGAACAAAAAGACTGACTCAATTCTTCATTTGTTCTGAGTAACTTTACTTAGTCAGCTATAAATCAGATGTTGTAGCTAGAAGCACAGCAGTGCTAAGCAGGAATACCAGAGAGAAAATAAAACAGAACTCATTATTTTTAAAAATGGTAAATGTTTCTTTGCCAAATAGCCACTTTACCCTTCATTGTTCAGCTAACCTTTGTCTTTCTACACTGTAAAAGCCTATTTACCCTACACAGATCATTATCCCACAACTGAAAACACTTGCTGCAGTTTTCTCTTTTGTGTATGTACAGTGTGAATGAGTATTCCAGAAAATCTCAGAGACAGAAAAAGTGGTTTTATATGTGAAAATGTGATTTCAGAATGACAATAATGAAGTACTGTGATTCAAATGTAAAACCTCAAACTACTAATACTTTCTTTGATACTGACAAAATTTAAGTCAGCAATGTACTTATGATTGGCTTATTACTACTTTATGTCTTCAGCTTTCAGTGATATGCTCTCTCTGATACTATTTAAAGAAAACTCCACTTTTTATCAACTGCTGGAGCTGAAAGAGGTAGAACCTCCTTGGCAGCAAGCATCTCCCTTGAGAACTCCACTTATTTGATGCAGTTATATTTTATTATTTCCTTTCTTTTCAAATTCTTAACTTATTTTTTTTAAACTTTTTAAAGGGTATTTGAAGAGAAAGAACATCCATCTTTGCCAAATGAGAAGCATCAGCTGTATAAACCACTACATGTCCCATGCCTTCCTCAGAAACTAGTCCAGTCTGTACAGAGTCTTAGATTGTCCATGCAACGAACAGAAACAGGTGAAGTGTGTTTAATGATCTTTCTGTGAGGATTTTGGATTATTTCTGTGTAAATGAATGGAAACCATGATAACAAATTTAGTGAACTTCTTCTGTGATAGCTGAAGCCAGGCTTTTAATGAAGTTGGGTACTTAACCTTGTCTCTGTGTTCTGAAAATCTTCTGTCTACTTCCTCTCTTATCTGTGCAAGAAGTAACATGACAAGTATACCTGGTGGATAGTGTCAGAAAAATCTGAAATATACCTTTAGCACTGTTTGCATAAATACAGTAAACATTAACTGTGTGTTATTTGCAGTAAGTTAATGCATATTTTCTTATTTTATGATAATTTTCTTTTAGCTTTTTGGTAACAGGAAAATGCATAAGCTTTGTTTGAAAGCTCAGTTTAATAATGTCATGCTTTGGATACTTAATCCTATAGACAATATTAAGTAATATTTGTTAATTTAGGGAGAGAAGAAAGAGAAAAACCTATGGAACTTTCAGTGGCCACTAGCAGTTCCTCCAGCCTTGCAGATAATTCATCACAGGTATGAAGGTCTCACACTGCTAAAAACATGAGAGTATATGTGTCTGTTTAAATTTAAAGCACTTCTAATATACCTAGTGCCATTATATCTTACGTAAAACTTTTTAACACTGTGACCAGGATGCTAATCTTGGTACTTTGCTAATGCTTGGTTATCATAATAAATATCTTTCTTTGGTGTTCATTTCTATGTATGTTCTTAGGAAGTGCAACTGGTAGTCACAGTGAGCATCTTAATGCCAAACTTGAGGTGGACTATCTAACCAATAATTTTGTATAATAGTTTTTTTAAATTTAGAATAATCCTTGTAGATGCACTTGGTTGTATGTAGCATATTTTTTTGAATTTTAAAGGAGGAACATAACCTTCTCTTACTGACTAGTCATCAGCTATTTGCTCCATACTGAAGTAACTCATAAAGGGCTAAATATGCAAGGTGCTATTCAGGGCTGCCTACAGTTAACAGCTCAGTTCTGAGGTTTAAGAGGAAACTAAAGTCTGGCAGAGAGCAATAAAACCCCAAGCAGCATTGCTTTGAACAGCTGAGGAGTCAACAACTACATTTTCTATCTCTCACCCATGAACAAATAGTTCCTATGGTACTTTTGTGGAAAAGGTGGAGTGTATTTCAGCTTAATATCTTGAATATAGAAACACAATAAACCAATCCAGAAACAACTTATAGGAACTACTTGCACAATTATGAAAACCACCAATAAAATGTCATAAAGTGCAAGAACATTCGTAGGACCAATAGATTATTAAAGTATAAAAGGAGCACTCAGATAAAGTAAGGCTATAAGAGATAAAATACATAGTTTGCAACTGTGTTTTGCTGTGCAGAAGCTTGGAGAAGTTTCTATACCAAAACCTTTCTATATAAAGGACATCTCACTGAATCTATTTATTTTAATGAACAACAAAAATAGTCAAGTTAAAAATAAACAGAATCAGTTGTGAATTTCTAAAGAATTTCAAGGGAGATGATAGATGAAGTGAGTGAATCACGAAATGCTTTAGAGCAAACCTGCAGTAGAAGAAGCCTTCATAAGATAGGGCAACATTACGGGCAATGGCTAGACTGGGTGGAACAAGATCAGAAGAATTTTCAAACAGTTCTTAAAGAAGGTTGCTGTGCTTCAGAAAGGCATGTTGGAAAGCGTAGCAGCTGAGTGGCAGATGGATTCTGCACAACCAGCTCTTTTGTCCCCCAGCCCAAACTGAATTCCATTTGATACATTTTGCAAATTAAACACAGCTAGCAGCCCCCTGTGAAATAATGTGTTATCTGATGCTGAGGCACACATTCCTGGTGCCACTCTGGCCTTCAGGCACACAGGCTGCCCAGGGAAGTGGTGGAGTCTCCATCCCTCAAGGTATTAAAAAGATGTGTGGATGTAGCACTTCAGGACAGGATTTATTTGTCATGATGGTGCTGGGTTGATGGCTGGACTTGGTGGTCTTAGAGGTCTTTTCCAACCTTAATGATGCTATGATTGTACATATAAGAGTTAGAGCTTCTGATCGGATGAAAATCTGTAAGGCAGGGTATTTCCATATTTTCTGCAGTTTTTCAGGAGACATACTGATGTGCACACTCACTTTTTAGCCTTTGGAGGTGGAGACAGGCCTGGCTCCAGCCCTTTCTGAGTCATCAAGCAGGAGCAACCTGGCTGCAGTAGTAGAAAACCTGGATAATGCTTGTAAATGATGTGATATTGTTTGTGCAACAGAAAAGTGAATATTATTCACATCTCGTTATCAGTGCAGTGATACAATGCTTTATTTAAAAAATATAGAAGTGGTTTTGGGTATCATACTGTTGAAATTTAGGCTAAGCAAAGATAGGCAAAAAATGTTTATATTGCCTGACCTCTAAAAAGTGGTTAAAAGAAGAGATTTCCAAAGTCTTAGGAGAAATCAGAGTGATATTGTTGAAGTGATGATTTCATATACCCTTTGTTTGAGTTTCTTGCTGTGTTTTAGGTGGCTATTGACACTGCAGTGACTAGTAACCCACATATTGCTCAGGTTCCATCAATAGCAAGCTTACAAAACCAAATGCAATTCAGGTAACTTTTCTTTAATAAAGTATTTTTCTTTATTGAGATAGAGGTTTATGGAAATAATCCATATTGAGACAAACAGTAATTTTTTTTATTATTATTATTTTAGACTCTCAATTCCTCCAAAACAGATGACTTCCAATCAACAGTTTGAGAGTGAAAATGCAGAAATAGGTAAAGCACCATTCTGGGTTTTTTTATAGGAGGTGCTGCTAGTGTGTGGATCACATAATTTTAAACAGAGAATTCTAGAGGCCAAGTTTTAATCTTGGTATTAAGTGGGCCACCATTTGTATTTTTTTTCCTCCCTGATAATTCATTTCAAACTTTCAGTATAGCAAACAGGCAGTGTCTTAATTTAAATAGAGACTGAACTGTACATTATGCATTGTTCATTGCTAATGAAAATAACCTTCCAGCATCTCTTGTATATCCCCACTTTGTTCTGCAATTACCTGGGTAAAAAGAAACCGAGTCTAAAAATCTGCCCAGAAGGCATGAGAAAATCCAAAGAAAAGGGATATAATAAGCTCGGTAATTTAGGAATCTTGAAGCATCAGATTAAGATTATTAAAGATGAAAATTAACTTGAGAAATGCATACAGAATGCTAAGAGAAACAAAACAGGATAGCTAGAAATACACCTACAGTTTCTGAAATCACAAGGCACTGAGTTTCAGTTTAAATATATTTTTTCTAATTATGCTGCCAATTTAGATCCATGTAAAAAGAATAAATAGTTGTTGTTGGTTTTGTTTGTTGTTTTGGTTTGTTGTTGTTTTTTTGTTTTTTTTTTAAGAAATAGGTTTTCAATTGTTTGTCCTGAAACAAGGATCTTATCCCACAGTGCCTGAAACATTGTGTGGCCTGAAGCTCAGAGCAGAGTCTCATAACATTCTCCTCACTTCACATCCTGGCTTTTGAACAGTTCTTTAAGATGCACTTTATCAGTGTCACATGGATGTATGTTTAATATTCTTTCCACCTGTTTTTTATTGACTAGTGTTAGGATCCTCCGAGAGAAATAGCCGGATTAGACAAACATGGCACTCTCAGGGAATAATAGCTAGGCTTGGAGAACATTCCAAACTGTATGGAACAGCTTTCATCATAGTAAGGGGCAGAATGAGAGGTAACTACCATGGACACAGCCACAAAGTGGGTTATTATGAGAAATACAGTCAGAACACTTCCTTACCAATAGCACTGTCAACTCAGTAAACCTTTCTCTAGGATTCTTTCCCACGATGTAGTTTTTATTTATTTGCTTAAATAATGCAAGCAGTGCTGTCTTTTTTTGGTATAGCAAGCCAAGAGGCCAAAGGTGGTGATAAAGGAGCAGAAGATAAGGCAAAGAATTCTTCCTATATACCTCAAGTAAGCAATGCATTTTTTAAGTTTTAAGTAATTGTTTTATTTACAATAGTGCAAGTATCTTGATATATTTGAACCTTTTGGAGGAAGTAAGACTCAAAAATTGGCAAAAGGTGAATAATGAATGTAATGAATAAGGCACTCAACAGATGAGAAGCCAATCACTGATTAGCAGTGCAATGATCATTGTTCTTGATCATGTCAGTGTTCCATGGGTCTCTACTTTAACAATAAACTATTTAGGATGGACTGTTTCTCCTATGTGCATTGTAGCTGTGTAAACCAGTGCATATAATTTTCATCAGGGTGAGATGATGAAACATTTACCAAAAAGTGTTTGCATTTGAAACTAATTTCTCCCACAAAACTACAGTAAAGAGGCTGTGTGCTGGCTACAGAGTCTGTGTGGCTCTAGTGGCACTGCTTCTGCCAGGTGTGCCTGAAAGTGAGATCAGGCTCTCCATGCTGTGATATTCAAGCCAGGTGTGTGTACATCTTGCATATCCAGGTGATACCAAGATGTGGTTTAACAAGGACCAGCAGCTAAGGACCACTTGCTCACTCCCCCCACAGTGGGAGGGGGAAGAGAGTCAGAAGGGTGAAAGTGCAAAAATTTGTGGGGTGAGATAAAGATGGTTTTGTAGGTATAGCAAATGCTGTGTGCTCTAGCAAAGCAAAATGAGGAATTAATTCACTACATCCCACCTGCAAGCAGCTGTTCAGCCACTTCCAGGAATGCAGGGTTTCATCACAGGTAGCAGTTACTTGGGAAGACAGATGACATAATTTCAAACATCTCTCCTTCCTCCTTCTTCCCTGCAGCTTTTATTGCTGGGCACAACACTGTATGGTGTGGAATATCCCTGGGGTCAGCTGGGGTCAGCTGTCCCAGTTGTGTCTCCTCCCAGCTTCATTCACACTGGCTGAGCAGGATGAGAAGCAGGAAAGGCCTTGGTGTTGCATGAGCAATAACTAAAACATCCCTGTGTTACCAACGCTTGTTTTCTTCACAAATCCAAGACATAGCACCATGTAGGCTGTGACCTCTCAGCCAAAACCAGTACACAAGATCAAGATTCTCCTCATCTTCTGGTTGGCTCACTACAGGCTGGTGCCTGCAGGCAGCTGGTGGAGAAGAATGTTTTTAAAACAATATTGAGTCTGGTGAATGTTGCTCCACAGAATCCAAGTGTATGTTCTCATTTAACATTTTCTGAGGAAGGGGAAACTGATACATATTAGGATGGTGATGTTCCTTTATTTCACCAAGGAGTACCAAGAGGATACCGGTGTGACCTGAAGCATAATACTAACATACTTTAGAGTGAAATAATTCAGTCAGTTAATGAGTTTATTTATTTGAATGAAAATTTTCTTACATAGTTCCTTTCACAGGAAGTCAATTTTAAATTAGATAAATGAAGGTTACACTTTTAAGCATGGTGAATATGTCATTGTGAGCATTTTATTAAAATCCTTGTATTTTTCATGAGGAAACATATGAAGAATAAATTTGGAGGTAAATGGACTAATGTTATTTTTTAAAATTTTATATGCAACAAACATTATTTTTTATTTCTTTTTAACAGGACATACACACACGTTTTAAGTCAACTGAAGTTAATCCTGACACAGCAGAAGAAAGCACAGAACATTTTTTAAGAGCACCTGAAACACCTGAGTTTGTAGGAACACCTGACTCAAAGGGGAAGAAAACCCAGTTCTCTAAAACACCTCCATTTGACTTGTATGAGTTCAGCTTTCCTTTTGATTTTGAACAAAGTTGTATTGATGTTTATTGCATAAGCATTTTGGCTGCTACTGAAAGATACTACAGAAAGATTTCTACAGAAAGCTCTTCTGAAACTATTAACATTTTTTCCTAAGTTTTGTTAATTTATTGGATTTACAGTATCATTTCCATTTGAAGCTGTTTTGAAAGAGGGGACTGCATAGAAATATATGAGACAGGGGTTCTTTGTAGCTCCTTTGCTGACGTTGCTGGCTTTTCCTGCAGTAATATTTGTTACATCACTTCCTATTTTTAAACAGTAAAAGGGGAGGGAATTTGTAAGAATATCAAATCACTTTACTTTGAGGAGTTGAGTTACTCGTTCTGTGTTGCAATAAGCAATCTTTCATGCAAGCTATGAGAATCTAAAAAAGTAGCAAAACAGAAAAAGTAGAACAAAAAAAGCCATCTACAACTACTTTTAAAAACCATTAATGTAGTTTCTTCCTTTTTGTCTTCATAGCATTCACAGTTTAGGTTGTGAAGAAGGAACATCAAAATCTCCTGCTTTCTTTTCTCTCATGAACTTCTCCCAGAAATCACCTGGCTTTAATTTATTTGATTCTGCTGCATTTGGGGCAGAAAACTCATCTGATGAGGTAAAAATGAGTACTTGAGAATATTAAATTTCCACAAAGCAAAATATGCTAAGAAAACAGCATTGGCAGTGAATGAGGTCTTTCAGACTGGTTATCTTCACAGCAAATAATTTTTTACTAGCTTACTTAATTTTACATTTAATGTAATTTGAAAATGCTTGTCTCCTTTCCTCGTGATCTCCCTGGGATGACTTCTGATCAAGTGTGCCTCTTCCCCCTATGGTCAAGCCTGTATCTTGTATAAACATACAGATGACTAGATTCACAAAAAGGCTTCTGACTCAGCATTGCAATGCAAAATTCAAGTACCTAGAAGAATTCACAGCTCACATGCTTGTCTGGTGAGGTATCATCTTCCTCAAGTGGGGGATCAGGATTTTTATTTTTATCCCCTCCATTTTTTCTCAAAATGCAGAACATTGAAAAAAGAAAGAAAGAACTATATGTTAAGATTACTGAGAAGAAATATAGACTAGCTATACTTAATGCAGGGCAAAGGTAGGCAACTCCTTGGAACAGGTTGTGGAATTCAAGCTTTAGTCTTCCTTTGCAAATTCCCTAACTACAGTGCTCTAGAGTAATTAGAGTAGATAATTAGGAATTCAGAACAGATGTGTGTCAGTGCATAGTGCAGGGGTTAGGTATCACTCCCTGGCAAGTAAGATTCAAACCCTATTATGCAACTGAGTGATTAGAACCCAGGTATCTCCTATTTCAGAGGGTATTCCCTGTCCTGAGGTTACTAGATAAAAGCCAAAGGAGGAAAGGGGCAAAACATGTTGTTACTATTTCCTAGCATCAGCTGTATGTAGGAGAGGATACACTGGTGAAGAGTTTGTGAATTGTTTAGGAATGAGGTAGGTATTAAGCCACCTGGCATGGTCAGAACTGATGTTATTTTGTGGCTGCTCAGTGACAGAAACCAAAAGTTTACCAACCTGTAGCAGTCATGTGGGATCCTCTGAAGTTAGGTGGGAGTTTTGAGGAGCTTCAGTGTCTACTATAAATCTACCCTAAGAACTCTTCTCAAGAGTGACAAGTTGTTATTCTGCTATTCTTTGTGGCAATATCAGGCTCTACCCAGTAGGCAGTAATTAAATTGTTGCTTACAGGCTTTCTAAAGTGAAACAGAATGAAAAATGTTTGTATTTTTTAAGTTTTAAAAAACCCAAACAGCAGTAAACCAGATTGGATTTTAGTCTGTTCTCAGTTTGGTGGCTTTTTTTTTCCAGAAGAATGGAGGGAGTGTACTTGCAGATGTAAGCAAACATCATAAAACCTATCTCAAAAGAGTTTACCTTGCAACTTTAGGGACTGACATATACATTTAGAAGCAGATTTTGTGAAGGCTGCTAACATTAACCAAGACTGTGTCTTTTTCACCAAAACCAAATAAACTTATTACATACCAGCATTAGAGCTTACCTTTAACCTCTTTGTTAAATAAAATTGTTGTTTACGTTTCAGACAGAGGAAAGTTATTCTGTGGGAAACCTGAACACTCTGTCCCCACAAAAAGATATTGGTAAGTCAGAAACTCAGATGTACTTGTGTATACCAGCTGTCTTCTACTTGTGCTGATATGACTGACAAGCTCGTGATCCTGCTTAACAGGGCACCTTTGGTTGTCTAAAAGGATGTTCAGCTGTGATACTGGAGTTCACTGGTTTATTGTGTTCATTTGTGTTTTGACTAGTTTATACCTTTCCTTGTATGTTTATCTTCAAATGTATGAGATGTCATGAAAAAAGAGGTGTGAGAAAGAGAGAAATAAGGACAGTGTTAGGTTGCTTTAAACGAAACTGAGAGGAGTTGCAAGGGAAAAGGAAATTTTAAGTGCCAACGGCTTTTTACTGTTGAAAAAGCAGTTCTTTTAATGTAAAAAACTACAGTACTTAATAAATATTTTATTTTAACTTAAGGCTACCAGCTTACTATTGGAAAGGGTTCATCTGTTGGGGTTTTCCTTGTTCAACTAAAATGAAAAATAACTTTCCGTTTGGTTAAAGAAATCTTGACAGTAAACTGACTTCCACCAGGTTAAACTGTTGGAGAGACACAATGTAAAAATAGCACAAGTGTGAGAGAGAGAATAGGCCTTAAACAGTATCTTCCACTCATACTAAGGGAGCCACACACATTCACACATTCTGTGTGAAATCCTGGCTTTCCTGAAATGAAAGGCCAAGTTTTCATGACACTAACTGGATAAAAAACTTACTCCTGATCAAACACTTTCCTGAAGGGACTTGTAATCTCTTCTTTTTTTGAGGTGCTGTAAGTCCAAGGCTACTTTTTGAATGGGATGAATATAAGATTGTATGTATATATAATTGTTGTAGAGAAAAGAGTGTGAATTTTATGTCATTAAATATAAAACTCTGGTGTTTTTCTGTCTGTAGCTTTGTTTTTCCAAGTCTTCCAGTGGTTAATGGCCTTGTTCTGTAGAGAAGAAAGAATCTGCAAAAATGTATCAGTTTACAAAGACCTCTGTTGCTTAGTATTGCAATTATTTCACCCAGTATATCATGCAGAAGTGTTTTGTTGTTCCAGGTTGTTCAAGTACTTCACACTTCATTCTGTGTAGATTCTAATAATGACCTCCTGGAAGAACCATTTCTAGGGCAGAAATAAACACCCAGCTGTGGGATGTTGGGAGTAGATTATTATTAAAGAAACGTATCATGCTGAATGCAGTATTCTTTCACTAAGATTTAATCTAATGATAAATATAATATGTATTCCATGCAGGAAGCTTGTTTGGGAAATCAGACAGTGAGGATGCATTTGCCTTTCCCTTCCCCTCAGAATCGACTTCTCATGCATTTGGAGATGGAAAAGATGACTTTAGTTTTCCATTTGCATTTGGACAGGATCAGAGATCATCACAGTCTCCTACTGTGAAAGGTTTTCATTCTTCCTTACAAAATACAAAGCCATTTACATTCTTCTGAATACCTATGACTTGCTTTTAAATTCTTTTCCTACTTAGCCTTGACAAATGTTTTCAGTCTCTTAAGTTAAAATACAAAGCATTTAATCTTCTCCTTTCATTCATGTAAGAATACATTATTACATTTGGTGCAAGAGCATGTGCATATCATCAAGCACACATACTTCGAGATGCAGCTTCTATTTTTCTCACCTGTTTTCTAAGTATGTTGTTTTCATAAAATGTTATGCTATGCTTTGGCTAAATTGGCACTTCTAAGCAGCAGAAATGTCATTTTACAGTAGTGAGTTAATAAAAAAATCAGTGAGAGCATCTAAACTTCTAGGTGAATGCTTTCAGCCTCTGATAGAAATTAAATAACTTGCATAAAAAAATGTTAGTAAGAGTAATTGTTTATTGCAGCAATAGAAGCTGAATTTGAGTTAAAGACAATGTTCTTAAATCAGCTGTTATACACATAATATTTATACAGTTGTTGAAATAAACATTTTTTGTTAACTTCATGTAAAGTTTTTTTGATATTTCTTAATATCTGATGTGAAATAATGTTGCAATTATAATACTTAACATTTCAACTTCTTTCTTTCTAACTTGAAACACTGAAAGTAAGTTTCTTCCTCTTTTCAAGAAAAAGATAACAAAAGCAGTCTGTGGACAGTACAAGTCTATCCACCAGTTCTCCACAAGTGACTTTCCTTATGGAATGGCTGGCTGTGGAGACAATACCAGGGTTCCTCAGCAAGCCATGCTTGCTTGGGTTTCTCAGTCACTTACTATGAAGTAAATAGCTTGCTGCACAGTAGGGAAACCTAATGCTGAAATGGAAGTAAAGCAAATCAAGAGGACGCCACATAATTCAGCAGGTTTCACAGAAGCCACTGCAAATGCACCAACTAGTCAGAAGGACTAAAAAAGGATAAAAAGCACCCTACCAGTATGGTCTGCACAGTCTGCCAATAAAATGCCAGCAACGTCCAAGGAGATGGGGAGTCCCCTTCCCTCTGCTGACCTGCAAAGCCCCAAATGACCACAAGCTTGGTTATCTATGCTACTACTTCTTTTCTGCCAAACTGCTAGATGTCTTGGGGCCATTTTTGTGCAGTCTGGCTCCTCCTTAAGTACTTGTCCCTAGAGACTGGTGAAAGTTACATTTTTTATTTTTATTTTTTTACTGGAGAGGGATTCAGGAAGTTTCAGTGAAGTGCTGCTGGGGTCCAGCTAGTAAGGACTAAGTGGGTTTCCATGTTAATCTTTTTAAAATAGCTTTTCTAATCTACTGCATACCTTGCAATCTGAAAAACATTTTCAAGTTTGAGAGCATATCTATGTTATTTAGGGCAGTGCTTTAGGGTGTGCTACAGGCAGATATTCTGAGATCATCTAGGAAACAGAAGAGTGGGATTTTGCTTGCTCAGTCATTCTGTAACTGAAGCTTGCTTTCCTCTCTTCTGATGAATTGTTTCATCCATGTCTCTGACATTACAGTCCAGTAGCCAAGTGAGATAAACCATAGTTCTAGGTCTTGCTGGACGTTTACTTACACAAATTAGATAGGCTGGTTAATAACAGGAAAGATAAAGCTACTTCAGAAAAGGCAACCACTCAGCTACCCTCCAGTCCATTGGGACCTCCCCAGTTAGCCAGGACTTCATGTAAATAATGGAAAGTGTCCTGGTGATCACTCCTGCCAGCTCTTTCAGCACCCTTGGATGTAGCCCACCCTGTCCCATAGACTAGTGTGTGTCCCAGTGGTGTAGCAGGTCTCTGACCACTTCCTCTTTAATTGTGATGACTTCATTCTGCATTCCCTCCCTGTCTCCTAGCTCATGTGGCTGTATATCCATGGAACAGCTAGTCCCACTGCTAAAGACTGAGGCAAAGTAGGTGTTGAGCATCTCAGCCTTTTTTTCATCCTTTGTTACTAAGATTCCCTTTGCATCCAATAAAGGATGGAGATTTTCCCTAATCCTCCTTTTGCTGTTAATGAATTTATAGAAACATTTTTTATTATCCCCAACAGCTGTAGCTAGTTTGAGCTCCAGCTATGCTTTGGCTCTCCTAATTTTCACCCTGCGTAGGTTCACTTCATCTTTATAGACTTCATGAGTGACCTGTCCCCTCTTCCAAAGGTCATAGACTCTCCTGTTGTTCCTAAGGTCCAGCCAAAGGTCCCTATCTAGCCAGGCTGGTCTCCTACCCTGCTTATTGTTTTTTTTTGGCACACAGGGACAGCAGCTCCTGTGCCTTTAAGACTTCTTTCTTGAAGCACATCCAGCCTTCCTGGACTCCTTTATCCTTCAAGGCAGCCTGCCAAGAGACTTTGTCAATCAGTCTTCTGAGCAGGTCAAGGTTTGCCCTCTGGAAGTTTAAGGTGGCAGTTTTACTAACCCCTCTCCTTGTTTCTCCAAGGATCAAAAACTCAGTCATCTCATGGTCACTGTGCCCTAGACGGTCTCCAACTTTTACTTCCCTCACAAGATCTTCCCTGTTCACCAGAAGCAGGTCCAGGAAGGCAGCCTCCCTGGTCGGCTCACTTACCAGCTGTGTGAGGAAGTTATCTTCCACACATTCCAGGTATCTCTTGGAATGTTCCCTCTCTGCTGTGTTGTATTCCCAGCAGATGTCTGGGAGGTTAAATCCTCCAGAAGAACAACAGCAAGTGACTGGGAGATTTCTCACAACTGCTTACAGAAAGCTTCATCCACCTCATCAACTTTTTGTTTTGTCATTTACATACCCACCCGACTACACCTATCTCTGGTCTGAAGATGGAGAGGGATCCTCTAGTCAGGGTAGTGGTGGCTGCTTGGGAGCAAAGTGTGATTTGGTCATTGCCACTTGTTATCTCCAGTTATGGGGCTCTGTGCCTCATTCCTCAGCTCAGGGTCAGTAAGTTAAATTTGAATCACTGTTGAAAGTGTGGAAAGCTAACTTTGCTTCCAGTAGATGAAGAACAGGTATTACACACATGACTACAACTTAACTAGAGACCAGTAACCTCCAGCAGCAAGACAGCAATGGCAGCTGGGAGCTGTAATCCCTTAAAAGCAGTGCAGCTGTCTGTAAAGAGGTGATGTGGTTACACATTGTGTAGATCCTTGGAGGTGGGGCTTGCCTTGATGTTCTCTCCCTGTTTTGCACCTAGTAAAATAGAGTTCAGATTCACAACTGAGCCCGAAGGTAGGTAAAACCATTAAAAAGCCTGTCTTAAATATGCAGAGCATGGATTTTTCTTTGAATCTTGTATGAGTATCCTAAGCAGAAGGCAAATGTTTATTTGGGCTGTCTTATCTTTACTGTTCCATTGAAGTTTTTAATGATGTTTTTGACAGAAAACCCTTTAACCTGAAAATTCCTTGTAACAACTAGTGTACTGCCCAGTGTTAGATCTGTGCTAGTAAAGTATGTTATGTCACCAAAATGGTAGGAAATATAATGACATTTGAATAAAAAAAAATTAAATAATTTTGTTGAGTACAATTCTTGAACAGCAAAGAATAAAATTTACACTCTTACCTGCTGCTGCCAGGAGGAAGACACTGATGCTTCAGTTTTCTTTCTCCCAGAGAAATAATAGCTATATGGGGATGTCATTTTTCTGATTAAAAAAAAATAGCACAAAGAGAATTTCTTCACATTTGCCTTGTTGTGCAAAGTGGCCTTTCAGTACAAAAAATAAAAAATCATTATAATTTGTAAGGTGACACAACAAAAACATGACAGGAGCCCCATCTACCATTTTACTGTTGATTTTACTAATGCATAAATGTAAAGCTTATAAACAGTCCAGGATATCTGGTTAACAAATAGGCAACAGCTGGACAGGTTTGGTGCTAAAACATTAATTTAGAAACTAGGAGGAGTTGTGGGATTATAGCATTTATTTTAATAATGCCATTTTATGGCTTTAGCCATTTAGTAATGCTATTTTATGGCTTCGTGCACCATCTTTGATAGAAAGTTAGACATTCATCAAACTGCTCTCACTCAAAAATCAGGTTACTACTTAAGACCAATTTATTCTTTTTCTGCAACTTTGATCTAAGACAATCAATAGAAAGCTGATATGCAGAGCATCCTTTAGGACAGATTTCCTTGCACTGTTACTTAAAATGCTTAAGGTGATAAAATCACAAAAGTTCCTTCATTTTATGTCAGAAAAACTATTCAGTGTTCAAGCACGAGTGGTGCAAGTGGTAGCATTAGAATTGGTTCTTTACCATACTAAATGTTCAATGTAGTTTTGTGTGAAGACTTTGAGGAAGAAAAAAAGGTATTTAGCATCACAGCCTTGACTCATCTCATGTCATTGGTCACACATTTCAAGAGTAATACAACAAAAAGCAACCAGAATTCTGGGCTAGAAAGTTTACAGTGATATAAGTGATACAAAACTGAGTTCCAACCTGCAGTGTTGATTAAAGAACATTAAATGTAAGTAGTGCCTCTATTTCTAGCTACCTGTTTAGATTCATAGTAGGGTACAAAAAAGTATCACTGGGATATTTAAACATCAAACACATAATTAAAGCTCTGGTTTCACTTGCAAGTGTTGGCCACCTGAGTTGCAGCCTTTCCACACAATTCAAGGAAAACTGCTGCACTGAACCCCGTTGAAATTCTGCACATGGTTGCCTTCCCAGTTTGGGATCTATACAAAGAAACAATTTCATTTTCTTTTCTTCCATTTCAATACTCTGGACACAATTAAAACTTCTTGTCGGAAGTGAAGGGGCTTCACTGCACATAGGTGGGTAAATGCAAACTTTGGGGGCAGAGGTAGAAGAATCATTGCATCCCGAGGAGACAGTCTCACACTATTGCAATAATACACTTAAGCATTTCAAGGAAATAAGCTTTAAGTGCTACTTATTGTAACAGATTGGAATGTGTAGACTTACAGTATTAGATGACAGTAATCTCCCTGGTGCAGGGCTGATTGCATGGGTAGCAAGAGTTGGCTAATCCTTCTCTGCCAATGGCATAAAACAAGGATTAGTTTTTTCATTTACTGCAACTGAGTGGGTCATTAGGATCCAAAGACACTAATGAGCCTGAACAGGCAATTGGATTCTGGTTTCAAAGTTACGGGCTAGATTAAAAGGTTGTGTCTTTTAATGATTTAAAACAGGATTTTCAGTGACCTTTTTTCTTGGAAAAAAAAAAAAAGTGAATGAAGGACATAACCATGGAACACAAACCTGGGATGTTGACTTTTTCTCTTGGAACTTAAGTTGTTGCC